CTTGTGCCTCCGCCTCCTCACCTGCACAATGGCAGTAAGGGGGACCCCAGCCGGCAGGCTTGGGGCGCGCCCCAAGCCGTCATTGTCCCTGCCGGCGCCTCCCTGCCCTCTGGATGCGGCGCTCTGGCCCTGGGCACCTGCATTCCGGGGCACCACCCTTACTTAATACGGACAGACTGAGGTTCCCCGGCTCTGACCGCGTTGCTCTTTCGTTTACTTATGCAGGGGGAGCTGAGGATCTGGTGCCATGGCTTTGATTACCCTGCGCAGAAACCTTTGTCACCTAACTGAATTTCGGAGCCACAGGGCGCTGGCTGTTCTGAAACATCAACCCATCCCATCCGGTCACAGGGTCATGAAGGTGCCGCTGTGCCCCTGGTTTTCAGTACAGCCTGGGCTTTTCAAGGTCCGGTTCCATCATGCCTGCTGCAAAAAATTCCATTCGGAAAATGGAAACGACCTGCACCCCCTGGATGAGCCCGGCTTCCCCCCGGTGCCAGACTGGGACGGGCTTGAACACGGTCTGACAGGTGCAGAAGAGCAGGTGTTCTACAGGAGACTGAGCCAGTTCACTTCGCCACAAGAAGTGTTAAGTTTTATAAGCACCCAGCAGGCACTGTCCGACGCCATGGCGGCCGGAGCCTTCCAGCGCATCTGTGAAATGGAGAACCAAGGTGGGGGCCCAGGGCCGCCAAAGGAAATCCTGGGGAACAGCACCTTTCAAGCTCTGTGTGTTCAGGTGGGGCGGGAGCCCTCCTACCTGTCAAACAGCAGCGTGGTGGCCGCCCTGCAAGCCCTCTCGCTGTTGGATGTGGGTCCCCAGAGACGCTTGCTACTGAAGCTGGTGGCCGAGTGCCAGCATCGCCTGCAGAGGAGGGCCCTGGATGTCCACAGCCTCTGTGCTATCGCCGAAAGCCTGGTCAAACTGCAAGGTCCAGGTTGTCCTATGCTCAGGCCCATTATGGATGAGCTTCAGGCCGAAAACCTGGGAAACTTTACCCCCGAGGATATCATGGCCCTTTATCGGACACTGCAGCTGTGTGCCGAAAACGTGGACCAGCACCAGGAGTTTCTAAATAAGATCAATGACTTCACTCTCTCCATAGTTGCCACCCTGAGTCCCACATCCATAAGCCAGACGCTCACCACCCTCGTAGTCCTTGACCAGACGCAGGCACTCCCCCTGGTCATAAAGCTGGGGCGGTATGCGGTGAGGCACGTCCCGCACTTCACTGACGAGGAGCTGGACAGGGTCTTGGAGGCGTTCATCTACTTTGGGCACAGTGACAGGTTCTTCACGAAAGCCCTGGAGCAGCACGTAGCGCCGCTGTGCCCGCAGCTGGACCCCCGGCTGGTGAGCAGGGTCATGGAGTACTGCGGGCAGAAGCTGATCCTGTCCAGGCCCATCCTGAGCGCCGTGGCGGAGACTTTCGTTCAGCAGTCGGAAAAATTTTCGCCTCGCCAGATTGCAGTGCTGATTGAACCGTTTGGAAAGCTCAATTATTTGCCGCCAAATGCCTCTGCTTTATTCAGGAAGCTAGAAGATATACTCTTCACGCAGTGCGATTTTTTCCCACCCAAAGCACTGTTGAAACTGCTGCATTCGTGTTCGCTCATTGAACGTCATCCGGTCAACTTCATGGCAAAAATATTCAGCCCTTATTTTCTTCAGCAGCTGCAAGGTGAGTTGGCTGTCATGACTGAGAGCGGGAAAATCAGCCTTTGAGCCTGAGACGTGCGCTCGTCCCTGCGCCTGGAGACGCCGAGGGTGCCGCTGTAAGCGCGGGGCAGGGTGCTGCAGCACGCAGCGGGTCAGCGCCTGGGTGAGCCGCCGCGGCCCGGCCGCCGCCGGCGTTCCTGAGGGATGTGTGGCGGCAGGAGTCTCGGCCGCGCAGAGCCCGCGACCAGAGGACGGCTGTGTGGCTTGTCCTGGGGACCACGTGCTGTTCATCTTATCTCAGAGTCAGTCAAGTGCGTCAAAAACCTGGTCTCCACGGAAAAAGCAGGCTGACGGAAGGCGGCGTCTGTATTTGATTGCTCGTAGTCGGGAGCTCGGGGCCTTAGAAGTCACCGCGAGTTTCTGTTGATAGGAGCGAGGCCCTAGGCAGCGCTGGGGGGGGGGGCTGGGGGCGGAGCCCACACCCACCCCGCGTCCCTGGGCCCTGGGCCGAGTCAGCCCAGGTGCGGCGGACGCTTTGCGTTTCAGGCGAGGAGCCCTATTTGGACAGACTGAGCCTGGCACAGCTGACCCAGCTCTTCGTGACCTCGGCCCTCGAGTGCCCTTTCTACAAGGTGAGGGCCTGGCCCGTGCGCCCTCCTGCGGGCAGTGGGCTCTCGCCCCTGCGCCCGCCCTGAACGCCCCAGCCCCTCTGATGAGTGACCCCGCCGTGTCACTGCCCTCGAAGGCCCCGTCCTGCTGCTCACGTTGAGTCTCCAGCAGTGGCCGGCCGAGGGTCTTCGACTTCTAGAGGCAGCGGGGTCCCCGTTTCCCACGGCTGCTGGTGTGTCAGTGTCAGTTCTGCGCGCGGAGCGCCCCAGGGTGCCCTGGAGAGGCCAAGTCCTCACTTGACTGCCCCGGGCGTGCGGTCAGGACAGGCGTCCCCGAGTGCCGCTTGGAGGATTTGGCCTGAGCACAGAAAACCAGCACTGTCTGCTTCCAGCAGCTTCCCCGGCCCAGCAGACGGCGGGGGCCACCCCTCCCGCGTCTCTGCAGGTGCAGCTGCTCGAAACGGCTCCGGGGCTGCCCCTCTCAGGGAGGGGTGCTGGCCGCTGGCTCCTGGAGCCCCAGGTCAGCTCGCGGCGGCGGCGGCGGCGGGGCGCTGAGCCTCGGGTCTGCCTTCCCAAGCGTTTACACTGGCGCTTGGGCCTCTGCACTGGCGTCCTGAGGAGGGCCTCCGGGACCGCCCCCCGCGGCTGGCCGCATGGCCCTCCCTCTCGGCCCAGAGCTGCGTGCAGCCCCCACATAGGCCCCAGCCTGGGGCCAGGGCTGAGCCAGGGCACTGGCCCGCCCGCCTCTCCCGCCCCGCCTCTGTCTTTGCCCCCAGGAGGCGCTGCAGGGAGACTGCAGGGAGACAGACCGGGCTGAAGTCCCAGCTCGCTCCTCTGGTAGCTTTAATCTTTACCCTAACCTCGGTGGGATGTCTTCCTTGTTAGGAAGTCTAGTCACATTCCAGAACTTCCTAAGGCAATACAATGCCTCCCTAAACAGGAAGTCTTTTCCTTAGGCCCTCCTGGGCGGGAAGCCCCTTCCCCACTTTCACCTACTGAAACCCTAAGCAGGCTGGCCCTGAGGCGCTACCTGAGGCGCTACCAGGCTCAGGGAAGGCCCCTGACTCTCGCTGGGGCCCTGCCTGCTCCGAGCTCGCTGGGGCTCGGCGGCGGCTTCCGAGCCCAGCGCTGGGGCGGGAGCGTCTGTGCGGGCCTGGGCCGCGTCTCGCCCGCACTGGTTTCGTGTCTAATTCCCCTTCCTCACGTTCACCACTGTCCCCAGGGTCCCCGGCTGCTCCCTAAGTTTCGAGTGAAGTCATTTCTCACCCCTTGCTGCTCCCTGGAGACCCCAGTGGACTTCCGGCTTTACAAGTCCGTGATGGCGGGGCTGATCGACCTGTTAGGAGCAAGATGCTACTTTGCTTCCCGCGTGCTGACGCCCTTCGGCTACACCATCGGTGAGCAGCTGCCTCCTGTGGCGTGTGCCCGAGAACGGCGTGCAGCTCGCTCCCTGGCCGCTCTGCCGGAGGGCGAAGGACCCCCAGGGAGGGGAGTGGGAGCTGCCCCCACCACCCCAGGGCCCACCCTGGGGAGCCTGGCAGCCGGGGCCCGAGTTGTCTGCTTTGGCGAGCTGCACAGCGCCCGTCTGGAGGGAAGTGGCCAGGCGGACAGCGGCGGGACCCCGGCCCCAGCCGGCCCACCCCCGGGGGAGCGGGAGCCGCGCGGCGCAAGGCTGGCGCGTTGGACTGGGCCTGTGGCGAGCTCGCCCGTCTGCCGCGCTCACGACGCTGCAGCCCTCGCCGGCCGGCAAAGGCGGCGTGGACGGAGTCGGCGCCAGGACGAGCCAGGAGTGCGGGTGAGGGTGTCGCGAGGAACTTTCCCTTTCTTCTCTCACCAGATGTCGAAATCAAACTAGATGAAGAAGGATTTGTGCTGCCACTGGCAGTTGATGAAGATGTGCACACAAGGTAAAGAAACCGTGTGGCCGGAGGGCGTGTCCCCCGTGGCCATGAGACGCGGCGTCTGCAGGGAGGGAGAGGCCAGGCCGGCCGCCAGAGGCTCCGCCCGCGGCTTCAGGCTGCGTTTCTCTTTCCCCTGGACCTCAGGCTCGCGCTGTGCCTCGATGGCCCCAAGAGGTTCTGCGTGAACAGCCGGTGCCTGCTGGGCCGGGAGGCCACCAAGCAGCGGCACCTGCGCCTGCTCGGCTACCAGGTGGTGCAGGTACGACCCGCGGCCGGCTCGCTGCCCGACTCCCGCGCGCCCCGGCTAGTCGGGCGTGACGCTGCCCGCTTCGGGCTGGAGCAAGCCAGACGCTCACCACCCTCGTAGTCCTTGACCAGACGCAGGCACTCCCCCTGGTCATAAAACTGGGGCGGTATGCGGTGAGGCACGTCCCGC